AAAAAAAAAAAAAAAAAAAATTAAATTATGACCTTTTCAGCAACATGGACGAAGCTGGAGGCATTCTCCTAAGAGAATTAATGCAGAAACAGAAAATCAAATACTGCATGCTGTCTCTTCTAAGTAGGAGCTCCATATTGGGTACACACAAGGATGGGAGCAACAGACACTGGGGTTCCAAAAGGGAAAAGGAGGGAGGGGGGAAAGGGTTGAAAAACTACATTTTGGGTCCTATGTTCACTGCTTGGGCAATGGGACCATTAGAAGGCCAGACCTCTATGGCCAGGCACCGTGGCTCATGCCTGTAATCCCAGCACTTTGGGAGGCTAAGGGGAGTGGATCACCTGAGGTCAGGAGTTCAAGACCAGCCTGACCAACATGGTAAAACCCCCATCTCTACTAATAATGTAGAAAGTAGCCAGAGGCTGGGCGCGGTGGCTCACGCCTGTAATCCCAGCATTTTGGGAGGTCAGGAATTCAAGACCAGACTGGCCAACATGGTGAAATCCCGTCTCTATTAAAAAATACAAAACTTAGCTGGGCATGGTGGTGCATGCCTGTAATCCCAGCTACTCGGGAGGCTGAGGCAGGAGAATTGCTTGAACCGGGACCTGGAAGGTGGAGGTTGAAGTGAGCTACTGCACTCCAGGCTGGGCTGCAGAGTGAGACTTGGTCTCAAACAAACAAACAAAAATTAGCCAGGCATAGTGGCAGGCGCCTGTAATCCAAGCTACTTGGGAGGCTGAGGCAGGAGAATCACTTGAACCCAGGAGGCAGAGGTTGCAGTGAGCCGAGATCACACCACTGTACTCCAGCCTGGGTAACACAGCGAGACTTTGTCTCAAAAAAAAAGAAACCCAAACCTCCGCATCATGCAATATGCCCAAACAAAAATGTAACAAACCTTCACATATCCCCACTGCATCTAAAATAAAATAAAATCTGCTCCAAATCCTAAAAAAGAAAAATGAAAGAACTGAGGCTGGGATTGAGTGTAGGGAGCTGGTGGGGTCTTCTGCGGTTGGGATCAGGATGGGGGTTGGGGTCAGAGTTAAGATCCTGTATTTGGGCTGGGTGCAGTGACTCACGCCTGTAATCCCGGCACTTTGGGAGGCCAAGGCGGGCGGATCACCCGAGGTTGGGAGTTCAAGACCAACCTGACCAACATGGAGAAACTCCTTCTCTAAAAATAATAATAATAAAATAAAAATAAATTTAAAATCCTGTATTTGAGTTGAGTTGAGAAACCAGGGGTGTTGGTTTAGCGTTAGGAGTGATACTGGGGTGAGGATGTCTAGAGGAAGCGTTGACGTGAACATTGAACCGTGTTTAAGTTGGGCTGAGATGAGTTTTTGGTCACTGCTCTGTCTAGAGTTGATTTAAGGTTAGGATTTCACTTGGGATTTCATTGATTTTAGAATTGGGGCTGAATTTGGAATTTGGATGGTGAGAAGAGCTTGCAAATTGAGTCAGGGAGGCTTGTGGGGTGCGGGGTTGGGTGAAGAATGATCTAGAATCTCAGTTGCTTTGGGACTGAGTTGAAGCACTGAAGCAGGATTTGAGGCTCCAGGAGTCGGAGGTAGCTGGGGGGTCTGGAGATGCTTAGAGGTTGTAGCCAAGGGTGAATTTCATATTTCATTGACACTGACATAGGGCTTGGTATTCACAGTGCGTTAAGAGGAGCTGAGGCTGAGTTGGTTTAGGGTGACTGGTGGAAGCTCGAGTGGGCTTGGAAGTTGAGTTGAAGGGTTGGGTGACCCTGGTTATGGTTGGGGAGACACTGGGGTTGAGTGAGGATCAGGGCTGGACTGAGAGTCAAATCTGGAGTAGATGCCAATCTCAGGGTGGAACTGCGTTCAGGTGGATTTGGGGTAATGACCAGCTCAGCACTGTTTCGGGTTAATATCAGGGCTCCATAGGGCCTTAGGATCGAGGTGGAGTTTGGGTTGGGATGGGAACTGAGGATGGGTTTAGGGTGGGAGCTGGGTAGAGGCTGGGGTCTGGGATTGAGTGGGGGTTGAGCGTGGCACTGGGCAAGTGTTGGTACGAGGGCATGGTGGAGCCCAGGGCGGAGGCTGGGGAAACGGATTTTTTCATAGCAGTTGGGTCAAGAGGATGGTTGGAGTCAGAGTGAGATCTGAAGATATGGTCAGATCCCGTCTATAATTAGGATTGGGTTTAGGTTGGGGTTTGAGTCTAAGGGAGACTGACTTTTCTTTTTTTTCTCTTTTTTTTTTTTTGAGATGGAGTCTCACTCGGTTGCCCAGGCTGGAGTGCAATGGCATGATCTCGGCTCACTGCAACCTCTGCCTCCCGGGTTCAAGTAATTCTCAGCCTCCCGAGCAGCTGGGACTACAGTCGACCGCCACCATGCCCGGCTAATTTTTGTATTTTTGGTAGAGTCGGGTTTCACCATGCTGGCCAGGCTGGTCCTGACCTCGTGATCCACCCACCTCGGCCTCCCAAAGTGCTGGGATTACAGGCATGAGCCATCACGCCCTGCTGGGAGATTGACTTTTCGTGTTGGGATCAAATTTTAGGTGACTGAGTTCAGAGTTGGCTTTGGATTTCAGGTTTTGGGGGATTGGCTCAGGGATGTTCCAGAGTAGTATTTAGGATCGGGGTCCAGTTGGTTTACAGGGCAGGTTGGCAGTCTGAAGGGAGCTCCGATGAGTACTTTACTCTGGTGAGTAGACTCCGATGGGGTCACGGGTTGAAACTGGATTTACCCTGCGCCTCTGATGGAGACGGTAGGCCAGCTCTGCAGCATGCAGCCTCAGGACTGCTCAGGTGATCAGTCCCAGGAGTCCCCAGGCCACCTGAAGGCTTACGGTGGGTGCAAGTGATTGTATGTTCATGATCATGTGTGTCTTTCTACATGGGGTCTTTCACCCTGCCCTGGAAGGACCTTAGAGACTGGTCTTGAAGGGCATGAAAGAGCAGAAGCCGCCCAGGCACGGTGGCTCACGCCTATCATTCAAGCATTTTGGGAGGCTGAGCCACGTGGATCAGCCGAGGTCAGGAGTTCGAGATCAACCTGGCCAACATGCTGAAACCCCGTCTCTACTAAAAATACAAAAAATTAGTCAGGCATGGTGGCGTGTGCCTGTAATCCCAGCTACTCAGGAGGCTCAGGCAGGAGCATCGCTTGACCCTGGTGGTGGAGGTTGCAGTGAGCCGAGATCGTGCCACTGTACTCCAGCCTGGGCGACAGAGTGAGACTCTGTCTCAAAAAAAAAGGGAAGAAAGAAAGAGCAGGCAGAAGGCTCTCTGGGAAGCGTGGCTCCCACCAACCTCCCTCTACCCTTCTTTCAGTCACAGCCGATGACGCCAGGGTTAAGGCCCATGGGTGCTGCCCCCAACCCCCGGATTATCGGTGAGTGACAAAAGACAGTCAAGTGGGGGAGGGGACCCTCTCCACCTCTCACCCCACCCCAGCCCTGCTCTCCCATTCCCCTGGGCTGCCAGCCCTTCCCTAGCCCAGGGACAGGGGCTGCTGAAGCTGTAGGTCAAGTTCACCTCTCCCTCCCTCCACAGAGCCTGCCGCCCTGGAGGAGTATAAGAGGAAGGTCCTGGAGTCCCAGAGGCCCCCTGCAGTCATCCCTGCGGCCCCATCCAGGTAAGGCACTGGGCAGGCTGCAATGGTTCAGTCTTAGGGCTGTGGGC